GCCAGTAGTGCCAAATACCTACCCATCCCACTCAGTCAAGCCCCAAATCCGGTAACTTCATTCCTACTCTGGGGCCACAAACAATGTGACTAATAATCCATTCCGCTGGTTTGTGTCACACCCAGCTTGGGTTTGGTTTCAGCCACTGTGTAGTTAACCCTTGTCCTGCAATCAATCAGTTCCCTCTCTCTCTCTCTCACTCTCTCTCTCTCTCTCACACACACACACACACACACACACACACACACACACATACACACACACACCACCGCCGCCACCACATGTCTATTAAAGGAGGAAGACGGGGCACATCAGGCAAAAGACTCAGCCTCCACTGCCCACCTCCACTGCTTGTACCAAGATGATTTGGGCCCAGTTACTTCCTCATTTTTCTAGTTGTCAGGCCCTCAGCCATCCAGTGCTGCACAGTAAGAAACTCCTTGTGATGTTAAATCCAGAGATGATTCAATTCTTTGGGGGGCAGGGAGCTCCCAGTCCTCAGTCTGATCCCTTGGCATTAGGCCTGCCAAGCATGCACTGGATGGCAGCAGCAGGTTGGATGCCACCCCCTCCTCTGTGCCCAGGAGGCTGGGCTGAGTGAGCTCCTGAGAAGGCCTGCGGAGGCTGTGATGGGCCTTGCCTGGGGGCCAGGGCCTGCCTGCCACTCCAGTCCTCCCTGGCAAGCAAGTGCCTGCCCGTAGAGAAAATGAATCTCTGGTGTCTGAATTGCTGAGTCATTAAAGTCACACACAGGATCCATGCATGCACCCCCATAACAGAACCTTGAATGCATTGCACATGCATGTGCACACACGGCCAGCACATGTGCACGCTCGCCCTCGTGTACATGCACACTCCCATACCATGCACCAAGGGAGACAGGCTGAGGCCAGCCTTGCTGGGAACAACCCCACCCCCACTGCTGTAATTTTCCTTCCCTGGTAGCCAGTCTGGGAGAACCTTGGCAGTGGAGATAAGGGCTGTGACGGGGCTGGAGGGCACTGACGTTCAGGCTGCCCAGCCACCACCTGGCTTCATCCATGGCGGCCAACAGCCCCCTTTCCAGAGCGGCCCTGTGATCTTCCTACACTTATTTTCCTTCGCTGTCAAGTAGGGCTGGGGATGGTCATGGCACTAACACTTCCCCTTAGGGGCTGAGGTCCAGGGGTGTAATAGGTGTGCAGATGCTGTCATCATCAGGATTATTACCTGTGGGAGCCTGGAGCTGGAGGCTGGAGAGACACAGCTGGGTTCGACCCACAGCTGTACCATTTACCAGCTAGGGCCCAGTTGCTCGCCTTACCCCCTGGATCATAGTGGGAAGCCACATGGCACCTACCTGTTGTATTTGTACGTAGAAAGCACTTGGCACATAGCACTCAAAACCAGAGTGGCATTGCCAAGGAGCTGCGGAGCACCAAGAGGGCTGTCTCCTGGGCCTCTTGTGGGTCCCTGACTCCTCCTGGGCCAGGAGCTGGCCCTCAGATGTTAAGCAAGCCCTGCATGCCCCCAGGAGCAAACCCAGGCTGTGAAAGGGGCTGCTTGGAGGATCAGAGGGGCCACAGCTATTCATGGTAGAAGGTCACCTTGACTCTAGCAGCAGTGACTGGGCCCCCTGCCCCACAGCCTGCTGTGTGCACTCAGCTGCCGAGTCTGGCTGATGCCATTTCCTTGGTATTTCACTAACATCTCCCCACCCACCCCTGCACACATCACTGCTTTATTTCAGCCTAGGTGACCATAGCCTTTCCTCTGCTCAGCAGTCAAGAGTCCACCAGAAAGTGAGGTCTGATCCTTCTTTCCTCTGTTTGAGTCCCTCCGAAGCTCCTTGTTGCTCTAAGCCCACCTCGCTGAGAGAATCTGGCCATGGACCAGGGATTTAGCTCAGTGGTTCTGTGCCTGCCTCGAAAGCGTAAGTTCTTGAGTTTGATCCCCAATACCAGAGAGAGAGAGAGAGAGAGAGAGAGAGAGAGAGAGAGAATCTGGCCATACCAAGCACAGGCAGCCACTTGCCATCTCCCAGGGCTGGACCTGCTGGGCCAATGTATTAGTCAGGATGAGTAGGCTATGCTTTGTGACAAATAAGCCCTATCCCAGTGGTTCCCTCTGCAAGCTGATTTCTCTGTCCTGCTGTCTGTCAGTTGGAGAACTGCTCTGCTCCACACAGTCCTCAGGAACCTTCATCTGAAAATATGCCTCTTCAACGAGGGACAAGAGTGCTACAGTGTCATAGACAGGTCTTACATGCTGTGTTCTGCAAGTGACCACATCGCTTTCTCCCATAATCCACCAGTCAGAGTGAATGCTGTGGCTGCCTAAACTGCCAGGGAGGTGCGCCAGGAGGGAGGACAGGGAAGGCTAATGGGCATCACCATCTGCCACACACAGGCGCCCCTCCCAATGCAGCAGCTGCTTAAGGTGAGCAGAGCGGGGGCTGGAGCAGAGCCTGCTGACTTGCTCCCTGCTTTCCTACACCCAGCTCAGACTCAAGGCAGCTCCTTAGCTGCTGCCTGCTTGCCAGAAGCCTAAGGAAATCATTATGTTTGCCATTCCTTTCCAAGAAGATCCCAGTACCCATTTTCTCATGACCCAGTACAGAGAAAAGCTACAGCGCTCTTTAGCAAGTGGTGGCTTTTAGCTAATAGATACTGATTCTGATTTTTCCCTTGTCAAATTGGCCACTGGGAAGCTCAGACCCAAATCTGAGGCCTAGCTCACCTTCTCTGAATGGAGGACCAGGCAGCATGTACTTAATAGTGTAAGTCCCCCTACAGTTCAGATGATTGGTTTTTTGCCTGCATTTTCCCTCTGTTTCTATTTCCTTGGCTATGACTTTTCTATTTCTTTGTTTTGTGTTCTCTTGGGGTCTATAAATGAGGATCAATGGGCTTTAATGAGTCCATCACTGTGTTCTGTGGTCCTTCCTGTAGCTCTGGCAAATGCAGCCAGGGTTTTGGCAGAGCTCCCAGAAGGAAGCTTGAAATTTTTGAGCTTTGCATAGTAGAATGGCCCCTGGAAGACCACAGGACCACCCGGTGCTTTGTAAAAGCCCAGGGATCAGGACCCAGATATGACATTGATCAAGATATGTTGACTTGATTGATCCAGATTTGTCAACTAGGATTAAGAAACACCTAGCAGATTGGTAAAGCATGCTTTTGGGAGTGGCTGTGTGAGTCATGGAGGTGTGACCTTGGGGACTATATCTTGTCCTTGGCCCTTGTCCTTTCTGGCACTATTTCCTTGCTCTGCTTCCCAGCCACTGTGAATGGGGCAGCTTTGCTCCACCACACCCTTCTGCCATGATATTTCTGTCTTGGAGCCAGCCGATTATTTGTGAGCTGAATAAATCATTTCCTCCTTTAAGCCGTGGGTCTCAGGTATTTGATCACAGCAATGGCAAAGCTAATATACTTGATCACTGTGACCTCCCTATGGTCACACAGTCTACTCCTGTGCCTAGGACTGAGCACAGAGCAGAGCCTGCTGGGCCAGCCACCCAGGTGGGGCAAGCATCTTCTTTGTCCTCCCTTGTGTCCTGGGCCTGGGAAGCTGCTGCGCTGGGCACTCCACAGCAGAACCCCATGGCTCCCTGAGGAACCTTCCCACGAAGAAGATGAGCCCTGACATCAAACTCTGAATCCGGGCACAGTGCCAGGGGCTAAGGTGGGATGGGGAGAGGCAGCTGGAGGGAGGCAGAGGGGAGTGAGAGCTCTGAAATTTGGAGATCATAAAAGATTCTCTGGAGGAGGTAGCTTGGGAATGAGGGAAGAGGTGGAATTGGATGTGGAAATTGGAGCAGGGGTTGGGTGGGAAGAACAACCCAAGTAGTGGGGAAGGCCAGGGACTGGAAATGCAAGGGCAAGTACCAAGGAAACTAGATGGTACTGTTTAGGGGGTAAGCAAGACAAATTAAAACCTGAAATATTTAGTGAGACTTGACCCAAAGGCCTTGAATGCCAGGCTCAGGAGTTTGACCTGATCATGTAAGGTGGCAGTGAATGGGAGCATCATGGGATGATGTGAGTATGTTAGTTACTTTTCTTGTTGCTGAGACAAAACACTTGACACTCAAAGTTAAAGAAGGAAAGATTTATTTAGATCACAGCTTGTAGAGGCTTCAGTGTATAATCGGCTGGCTCCAAGGCAGGATGGCATGGCAGAGAGGCAACAGTTCATGGTGTACTGAAGGTAGCAAAGCAACAAGGGACCTTAATAGTGTCTTTTGGCCCCTTCTGTCTTATCCAGACCAGCAGGATTAGGCCAGTGCCAAACCAATCAGTGGACTGATTTAGTAACCACATACACTTAATCCCAGCATCAACAAGCTAGATTCAGCCACCTCTGAAAAAGCTACCTATGACCACATAAGGCTTTGGGGGAACAGCTAGACCCAAACCCTAACAGTGAGATGGGGGTAGGGGTGGTGAGGATCGATCAGCTAAGGCCTAGTGCCTGAAAGTGTCCCTTTGGCGGAGACAAGGGCCCAGATCCTGTTTGGTCACTGCCAAGGCCTGGACCTCTCACAAGCCAGTCACAATTTTGCCCTGCTGACCCCTTCACCTGACCTCTCCTCAATCCCACATCCAATGGATAGGCTTGTATGTGTGTCTGCAATATATGGAAAGTTCCCGACTTACGAACAAAGATACAAATAGACCTTGTATTTGGTTTTTTGTTGTTTTTTTGTTTTGTTTTGGTTTTTGATACTGGGAATCAAACTCATGACCTTGTGCTAGCGAGGCAGGCAGCAGCACCACTGAGCTAAATCCCCGGCCCTGTATTTGGTTTTTTTATGCTTTACATGTATATTTGTGTCAAGGGTGTGTATAAGACTCACTTTGTAAGACTTACGAACGAGTCCAACTTACAAATGTTCTTCCAGAACAGAACTTGTTTATAAGTCAGGGACTTACTGTGTATGTTTTTTTTTCTTTTTAGTATCTCCTTGCTAATCTTAATAAACCACAGATGGTTCCCCAAACATCCACTGTCTGCTGCAGTCTCAGGGTCTTTGCTCAGATGCTTCTATCTGCCTGGGACACCTTCCTCAGCTCTTCCTTGTCCTGCCTATGTGGTCAACACCTACTCATCCTTCACGTCAAACTCATGTGTCACTTCCAATATGAGTCCTCCCCACTGGCATGTACGAGTCCCCAGTGTTACCATCGCATGAGGACTCTTCCCTCCTGTAAGGGTGGAGCTCAGGCTCACGCTCACCAAGCTCCTAGTGCTGGAAATGGGATCTGGACACCACCTTGCTCAGTAAATACTCAACAAATACAAGCTGGATGAAGAGCACCAGAAGCTCAAGATTCTTGGATGATAACACAGGTTAAGCATCCCTGATCAAAAAACTCAAAGTTGGAAATTCTCTGAAACTTTTTGAGCACCCACATGATGACCCAAGTGGAAAATTCCACACCTGATTTCATATAACAAGATAGAGTTGGGCTGGGGATTTAGCTCAGTGGTTTCGCTGCCTATTGTGCAAGCACAAGGACCCGAGTTCAATCCCCGGTACCAAAACAAAAAAAAAAAGATAGAGTCAAGTGCAGTTACACTAAAAATATTGTAAGACGTTGCCTTCTAGCTGTGTGTACAAGGTGTGCATGAAACATCAAAGAATCTGTGTTTAGACTTGAGTCTCATCCCTAAGATATTTCATTATGTATATGCAGATATTTCCAAATCTGAGAAAATTCATACTCGGAAACACCTTCAGTCCCCAGCATTTTGGATAAAGAATTCCAATCCAATTTGGTGGTAGTAACTGCTACTATCAATTAAAGGTCTTTCCCTGTGCCTAGGGATCTAAATACATTGCCCAATTTAGTTGTGACAAATCTACGAAACAGATACATTTGTCATCTCATTTTACAGGCAAGAAAACTGAAGCTCCAGAGGTTAAGTTACTTGCATACCCAGTGAGTAAGCACAGCTGGAAGTGGAGCCCAAGCCCTCTGGCTCCAGAGAACACAGCTATCCACTCAGTTGGACAGAGCATTGAGATGGTGTTGCTGTCAAGTTCTCTATGGTTTCTCTGCCTTTTTGTGTTCACCCTTGAAGAGATGAAAAGCCCTAATACAACAGCAAACAATTTGGTGGTTATGATGCACTGTCCCCCTTACCTCACTGAATCCATAGGGATAACCATGACTGTAATCTATGTGCTTGGTTGCCCTTCATAACTATCACTGTCCACATACAGCTGACCACTGCCCCAGTTGTGCCTACTTACAGATTCTCAAGGTAAGACCTCCATGTGTCCCACAATCAGGGCAGTGAGCCTCATGCCTTTTGTCCTGTTTGCCTCCAACAGATGTCATGGCACCCCCAGTACCGGAGCTCCAAGTTCCGCCATGTCTTCGGCAAACCAGCCAGCAAGGAGAACTGCTACGACTCCGTGCCCATCACCCGCAGTGTTCATGACAATCACTTCTGTGCGGTGAACCCCCACTTCATTGCAGTTGTCACTGAGTGTGCAGGTGGGGGGGCCTTCATCGTCATCCCCCTGCACCAGGTAAGGGTACCTGGTCATCCCCAGGCCCAGACAGGTCTCCAGAGGTCCTCAGGACAGAGGGAAAGTAGACAGAACCTGGGTTTCTAGGCTCAGGTGTGACTCAAGTCCCAGCCCTGTCTCGTGCTAGTTGTGTGACCTTGGTAAGTCATGCCTCCTCTCTGAGCCTTGGTGTCCCCCTTAGAAAAGTATACCTATCTGAGGTTTCAGCTTCCAACAGCTGTCTTGGCTGTCATAGGCCTCTGCTCCTCTCTGCAAAACAATTCTGCAAATCAGTTCACTCCTGAATAAAATATAGTTTTGAATGTCTTCCTGGGCTCACATGGAATTGGGAAAAATCTCCAAAGCCATCTATCTTTGCCATATAGAGGAAGACAAGCACTGGGCTTAGAAGAGGTGAGAGAGAAAGTGAGAACAGGCTTGTCCTAGGCAAACAGACCGTGTACCATTGCTGATAGTCATGTTTCTGACCCCTGAGAGTGACAGTTTCATACAGATCACCCTCATATCAGGATACCAGCTCTGAATCTCTGCCCTAAGGCTGGGCACCTGAATGGACTAGAGTACTTCTCAGTTCCTAGAGCCTCTGGCTCCCAGCAGAAGAGCCATGATGGCCCTCCAGAGCAAAGCAGCTCACAGACTAAGATCAGAGCACTAGGAATGCCTAGAGACCACCACTGCATGACCACCACTGTAAGAGTCAGCTGCAATGGCAGGTGCCTGACCTAGACCCCCAAAGGACTCAGCAGTTATAGTCATAAATATAGATTAGAGTTGGATAGGACAGACTGGCTGGCTAGCTCCCCACCACCACCACACGTGTTGGGTGTTAAACCCAAGGACTTTGTACTGAGTTATATCCCCAGCCTTTTTTTTATTGGGGATGGGATCTCACAAAATTGCCCAAGTTGAGCTCAAACTTGAGGTCTTCCTGCCTCAGCTTCCCAGAGTGCTGAAATTACAGACATGTGCTACCATTCCTGGTTTATGCATAGACCAGGCTTTCTGATCGCAATGCAATAGAGTTAGAAACCAGTAATACAACATAAATGTTAAATTTCTGCTCACTTAGAAATTTTAATACACATTTCTAAAATAGTATAGGCAAAGAAGCAATCAAATGGAAATTTAAAAGTACTTTGGCTTATATCATAAAGGGGATGCCAAAAATATATACCAAGGAAAAGGTATAGCTCTCATACAAAGGAAAAAGGAAAATGGCTGAAAATTAATTACTAAGTATTCAATCAAGAAGTTAGAAAAAAAGCAACAGAGTAAACCCAAAGGAAATTTGAGGACGAAGATAATAAAAAGCAGAAATTGGCAGGCATGGTGACTCATGTCTGTAATCCGAGCACTCTGGAAGCTGAGGCAGGAGGGTGACAGTTGGAGGCCAACATGGGCTACATAGCAAGTTCAAACCCTAGACTACATAGTGACTGACACTCTATCTCAAAAAAAACCCTTATAGACAAGCCCTTGGAGAAGCTGATTAAGTGGTAAAAGAGAGAAGATACAAATAACATCAGGAACAAATAAAACAATGTAACCACAGAGCTTTAAAATCTAACAAGACAGCTAGGCATGGTGGCACACAGCTGCAATCCCAGCACTCGGGAGGCTGAGGCAGGAGGATCACTGTAAGTTCGAGGTATCCTGACCTACATAGTGAGTTCAAGGCCAGCCTGAACTACGTAGTGAGACCCTGTCTCAAAAAAAACAAAAAAATAAAAAAAATATTAATAATATCTAATAAGATAGGCTGGGAATATAGCTCAGTGGTAGAGCACTTGCCTAGCATGTACATAGGCCCTGGGTTCAATCCCCAGCACTACAAGAAAAAATTTAATAAGACATTTTAATGAGTAGTTTTATGCCAGTAAATTTGAAAACATTGACAATGTGGGCAAATTCCAAAAAATATGTTATTTATCAATATGGATTCCAGTAGGAACTCTCACCTCATCACCAGGAAGCAAAAGAGAAAGAAAGGAATAGCTCTATAATTTTTTTAATTGAGCAATAAAAATTTCACTGCACCCCATATTGTCAAAATATAAATGTCTGATAATAGTAAGTGATAGCAAAGATAGGAAGCAGTGTAAAGTATGTACCAACACTTCTGGTTGGGAGTGGAAGCTAACATGCCTATTTTGGGGGAGAAAAGGAAAATATATATGCCTATGACCAAGAAATTCCACTCCTAAGCATATACTAAGCAGAACATATTCCCAGGAGCACTAGAACAGAAGAATGGGAAGGCACATAGGAGCTCATATTATTGCAAAACTGGGAAACCCATAGGTTTTTATTTGTTTTGTTTTGTTTTGTTTTTGGTACCGGGGATTGAACTCGGGATCTTGCTCTTGTGAGTCAGGTGGTGGAACCACTGAGCTAAATCCCTGGCCCTAACCATAGGGGGTTTTTTTGTTTGTTTTGTTTTGTTTTTTTAAATTCTTTTATTGGTACATTTTAGGTGTACAGTACATTTACATTTCTCATTGGGAATTGTACCTTTACATGATGCATCTTGGTTCTTATTTTTTCCCCATTCCCAGCCCTCCCTTCACCCCCTTCACCCTTCCCTATTTACAAAGACTTTGTTTCCATTTTTTCCGTTTCTCATCATTTTTCCTTTCCCTTCTTTCCTTTCCCCTGCCCCTCCCACTTCCCCTACCCCTTTGGACCTTTTCTTCCTATTTCGCATTATCAATTATTCATTCTAATCATTGCTACATTTTAGATATACAATAAAATGACATTCATCATTGGAAATTTGCACCTTTACATAATCTCTCTTGGTTCTTATTTTTCCCCCTTCCCCTGTCCTCCCTTCAACCCCTCCATCCCTCCCTATTTACAAAGACTTTGTTTCCATTTTTCCATTTTCTCACATTAATTCCATTCCCTTCTTTCTTTTCCCCTACCCCTACCCCTTCCACTTCCCCTTCCCCTTTGTATGGAGATACCTCAAAGAACTAGGACTGGAAGCCCCATTTGACCCAGCTATCCCCCTGCTGGGTATCTTCCCAAAAGAATTAAAAGAATCATACCACAGTGATATATGTGCACCCATGTTCATAGCAGCACAATTTGAAATAGCTAAAATTTGGAAACAGCCCAACTGCCCATCAACTGGAGACTGGATAAAGAACATGTGGTGTTTTTATAAAATGGAGTACTACTCAGCCATAAAAAATGAGAAATTAGAGACATTTATAGCTAAATGGATGCACATCGAAGGGATACTCTCAAGTGAAATAAATAGGACACACATGTATAAATACTGAACAGTTTCTCTAGTGTGAGAAACTGAAAATGTAAATTAGAACTAAAAGGTATAATAGAAAATGTGAAATACCCCCATAGGTTTTTAAAATGACCTGTTGATAATTTATTTTCCAACAACTCACTAGGTGGAACATTTACATTCTGTGCACTTTTTTGCATGTTTGTTGTGTTTTACATATACATATACATATGAAAGACTCCAGGCCTAGATGAATTTATAGGCAAGTCTTACAAAACTTTCAAGAAAGAGATTATTGAATCTTGTGCACATTATTCCAAAAATAGGAGAAGAGGGATAACCTCCTTCCTCATTCTCTGACGCCTATGCAACCTTGATACCAAAACCACACAAGGATAGAACATGAAAGAAAAAAGTGTAGATAAGACTGTACTCATGAAAATGCAGAATTACTAGCAAAGAGAATCTAACCATGAATAAGAAAAGATACTTTGGGATCATTAGATTTATAGAAACTAAAAGTGGCTTAATATTTGTCAATGATAGACCATCTTATTAACAAATGAAAGGAGAAAAATCATGTAGTCATCTGCACAGATCCAGAAAAAGCATTTGATAAAGTGCAGTAACCACCCATGAGATAAATCACAGCAGACTAACTAGGTGTGTTAGCTTTCCATCACTACAACAAATACCTAAGTAATTAAAGAGGAAAGGTTTATTTTGGCTCACAGCTTTGGAGGCTTCAATCCATGATTGATTGGCCTTGCTGCTTTGGGGCCTGTGGCATCACCAGAAAGCAAAAGAGAAAAAAAGGAAGGGAAGTAGATCCAACAACAACCTGTGGGGGGCTCGCACCCAATGACCCAAAGACCTCCCACTAGACCCCACCCTGCAAAGACTCCACCACCTTCCAGGGACCCCTTGCTGGGGGCAGTCAATATCAAAACTATAGCACCAGGGATAGAAGGGAAATTTCATAACTTACTGCAAACAGTATTTTATAAAAATTTTATTTTGAAATAATTTCAATCCTACAGAAAATTTACAAATATAAATGAAGGAATTCCTGGTTATCCTTACCTGGTTAACTAGTAATTAACATTTTGCCAATTTGCACTGTGTGTGTGTGTGTGTGTGTGTGTGTGTGTGTGTGTGTGTGTTACTTTTCTCTTGTTGCTGAGACAAAATACCTGGCACCAAAAGTTAAAGGGGAAGGGGTTTATTTAGCTTATAGTTCATAGAGGTTTCAGTACATAATCTCCTGACTTCAAGACAGAGATGACAAACAGGCATGCAGAGAAGAAACAACATGGCACGCACAAGGTAGTAAAGGTAACAAGAGGGATTAACAGTGTCTTTCTGCCCCTTTTATCTTATTTAGACTACCAGGATTAGGGCGGTGCCAAACTAATCGCTCACATATAGTGGTTTAGTAATCTCTCACCCTTAACCCCAGCATCACACATTCCAGATTCAGCTACCTCTGAAAAAGAAAATCCCACCTCATCCTCATGAGGCTTTGGGGGGCCAACTAGACACAAACCAAAACAGTGTGTATTTGGCAATGTAGAGAAGTTACAGATCTAACCAACCCTTCACCCCTGAATGCTGCACTTCAGTCTATAAGTTCTAAGAACAAGAACATTTTCTTATATTACCACAATATAACCACATTTGGGAATATAACACAATACAATGCTAATTATAATATACAGTCCAAATTAAAATTATGCCAATTGTCTCAATTAAT